AAGTTTCTGTGGATTTTGTCTATTGTCTTTACAGGGTGATGACGAGATAAAGGGTGGTAATGGCTAAATATCTGGCAAGCTGCATTTAGGGAATGAAATTCTGTATCTCAGATATCCCTGTTCTCATCAGGTCAACTCATGGGGTCAACATTAAGCAGCTCTATCAGGAGAAGCTGAAGGATACTTTCCTTCCAAGAGTCCTGATAGCCCCTTTTCTTTGTGCTTCTCTTTTCTAAAACTGTTTATAACCTCCAGGGAAAGTATGTTTTCTGTTTAAGCAATTCACCTTGAAGCTTTCTGTTCCTATGTGGTGTAGAGATCCTATCATGGATCACAACACAGAAAGTAAGCAGATAGAAAGTAAGCTGGAGGACAAGACAGAGTGTAGGATTTCAAACATTTGCAATCGGATGGTCATAAATTTGGAGAAAAAAAGCCATGACTGCATTATCATGCTTTTCTACCACAGAGGGGAAAAAGCTTTTTGCAGAAACTACGTGCATATGAAATACTTGGATTAATTATCCTAAAAGTTTTAAAAATTTTATTCTTCCTTTAGCTAGATGCATATATACCTGTACTTTTAAACCCCAAATTAGGATTACTCCTTTCTGATCCTTGACCTTACCTGAACTTTAAATAATGTCCACAATTATAATCTATTACTCCCGTTTCGTTTTTGGTGTTGCAGTGGTTGGTTTTTTTTTTTTTCCCAATACTGCATTATTATAATACAATACAATAAGAAAATGTATTTTGCTAAATCCCATTGTACATAAATGTTTAAGCAAATTTCTTCTCTGTGGCAGTGTTCCAGACTTTAGTACTATTGAAGACCCCAAACTTAATGTACCAATATTAGTTTGCATCAAAACCTGCCTCCATCAAGTAACATTCTGAAATCTTCTGCTGTTCTAGAGGCAGAGCGGGTGAGTCATATGCCTTGAAGAAATGCTAAATAAAGCCCAACACTACAAGCTAATTCCACCCACTCTAGCAGATACCTCAAAAAAAGTTATATGGATACAGATAAGATGGGAGCTTGTAGAAAATATTGTAGATTAGAACTGATATGATCTGTAAGAAAAATCTTTTAACCTCTAAACTATGGAAAGAACATGGCAATTTAGTGAATAACTATACTTCAACAATAACAGCTCTTAAGCTCTTCCTTTTGAACTGAGACTTAAATTGCTCATTTGTATAATTGGATGTGAATGTCTCTTTCCATTAAAAAAAATCCCAAAACACAAAAAACCCCAACAATTTGGTTGTTCTGAACAATTGCTTGGAGTTGTAGCCTAAAACACACAAAGGCATTTCAGTGTATCACTAGAATGCATTTTATAGGCAGAAGCATTGGTACGCTCCTTGTACAGACACAAAAAACAACAGAGGAGGCAGTCATTTTGAGCTAGATGTGACAGTACAAAATCATTCTGCCACAGATCACCGAAAAAAATGTTGTAAACACAGTGGAAAGTGAACATAATGTATTTGTTTCTGAGTTGTCACGTAGTTCTTCACCTGTTGTGATTAGTGGAGGCACTTTCTAGCAGAGCATTTAGCAAGAGAGGCTTGGCTGAAGAGCAGTGGAGGGCAGGAAGAGCTGCAGAGTCCACTTCTTTGTTCATCTCTTCTTGTTTCTTAGAAGGAACAGTTGATGTTTTACAACACTGACTTAAAATCTGAAGGAATATTGCTAACATTTCACAGCAAATCCTTAAAGGTTCATAAATTCTCAAATTTTATGCCACAGTACATTGATGTGTGTGATACACTTGCAGAAAAAGCCCCTGTGATGCTGAATTCACCTATTTGGTTTAAGAAGTTTTCTGCAACAAGAATACACAACCTTTGCTGCCTCAGAGCTCCTTTCATCAGCTTTCATTTGCGATGGAAAGTGTTATACTTTTTTGCTGTATTGCCTTGGTCATGGTTCCTGCTGCAGTGGCAATCATTAGGTAAAAAATCCCCCTCTGATCAGAGGAATACTTGAAAACTTTTTAAGGCTGATTCCCCATTAAAGCAGCTATGACAGTTTATAACAGCTCATGACCTCACTCTGACGCACAGCAGATTTCTTTTCTCCTAATCTCACCATTCATTTTAAGGGGCAAAAAGGTGATTAAGTTCTATTAATGCAGGATTCTATGTTAATGTGAATTTGGAAACATTTCAAAGAATAAACTCATGTACAAAGTAGACTGAAAGTGGGATTTTTTTATCTGACCTGAATACAAACAAAATCAACACAAGAAAGGAAAGAAAAAAAACAGCAGAAAAACTTATTCAATGGAGATTTGTGGATTTATACTTACATTTTTAAGCATAGTGACAATGTGATCTATTAGCAGCAATGTAGACTGGCTAGAAAATTAAAAAATTTGATTGTAAAAGTAGTTAAATTAAGCATTAAACAAACTTAAATACTCCTAAAGATTTTATCTGAAGATTTCTTCAATTTGAGGGATTTTTAAAAACTGAGAAATTATTTTCTGTATCTTCTCCCAGACGTAGGAGAGGATAAGCCTATTGCCTAGAAACACTGTTTTTTCTACTCTGTGATTTCCAATGAACATGACTGTTTTGCCTTTTGTTAGGAATAAATCAATAAAATATTTAAGACATGCAGTCTCAGAAGTCTGAATAAAGATTGCCTGAAATTGAAAGGGAAAAGAAACATCAAACACTTGCACAACACAGTTTAGTTTTTAAAGCTAACAGTGATTTCTGTCTCTGGCTAGGACTGAATTTTAAAAAGCAATGAAACAGGATACACCATTCTCTGAAGCAGAATTGCTAGAACAAAATGGTCTACTGGTTTACTTTTCACACAGCATTTCTACTTGAAGATTTGTATTCAATTTCTTCTAGTAGGAAAATATTGAAATCAGGCTGCAGTTGAAATTCATTGGTTCCATCTCAACCTTTAAGAATGCCAATCTCCCCAAAACTGACAGTGAAACAAAGGATGATGCAACAGGTTAATGGTTTAATTTTTCAATTAGTATTTCTATTTACTTTTACAGTCTTTTCCAGCCTATTTTCCCACCTATCCTCCTGAGGAGAGCAAGTGAGAAAGTAGCTGGGTAAATGTTCGGCAGTTCACTAAGGCTATCGCCTCACACATCCAGCCCAAATATTTATTTCTTAAAACTTCTAAATTCAGTTTAAATTTAGATAGCCGTAACACCACAGAGACTACTTGCTTTAGACAAGACCTTTCTGAGTATGTCTACAGAATAGCAAGTTTTTTTGAAGGATGGGAAAACAGATGTTAATATGACTCAAAGATCTTCCCAGTCTATGATGCAATAATGTGCTGCTTCTCATTTTTCAGCTCAGACAAGGTGCTCCTCTACCTATGGATGATGCATGTATAAATTTGTTTCTTCACAAAGGCATCATAACAAAAAAGTCTCACTAAGGGGAATGCATTATGATGCCTTGCTTATATCTACATTTCTCAGTATAAACCCAATAAGTGATATTAAACATACATCTGTCCAGCCCTTTACAAAATGCTTTAACTTTGGTAGGCTAGACCCTCATATTACTTTTTTGCTGTTTGCCAGGGACTGTAGTATAGAAAAAAACCCTACAACAGGTAAGACTTCCTTAAGTAAACACAGCTTCTTTATGCATAGTAAATGACCCTACACCCAGTCATACACTGCAGGCATTTAGCTCCCTCCTGTCAAGTTAGCTCATTTACAAATGAGCTGATTGCTAAAGTAGACATTACTACAGGCCAACATATCAGATGCACAGGCCATTGCTTTGTGACCCTATCAGTATTAATGAGTAGAAACTTGCATATACATACACACACATGCACCTATCCATTTATGTCTGTTTAAATATGAAAGGAGATGTGTGTATATATATCTGTTTTTCAAGCACAGTGAGATACTATGGACATTTTCATTAACTTACCTGATCTCGAGTAAATGCCCCACCAACCCCCAGATACAAGCAAAGACAGAATACATCTCATAGAACTCTCCAAGGCACATTTTCAGGAGTCAGCAAACAATCCAGCAGAGAACAGAATGTCTGTAGTGAATAAATACGTGAAGAGAGTGACCTGTGAGTCTTACTCCATAGGAAGTTGACAGTGACCTCAAGAAGGTATTTAAGTAGTGAGATTTAAGCAGCTCCTTGCTGTGCTTCCTTTTTGTCTAGGAGATCCTTTCTCAGGTTAAAGGCATGAAGAGGTCTCCTGATAAAATGTATCAGAATACCTTCATTCTACAGTAATTAAAGCAAGGCATATGAAGAAGATGACACAGTTCAGGCATGTCTATTACAGCAAATTCTTAACACTCATAATCAATAATTAGTTTTCTCCTCTCATATTGACTTATTTAGAAACAGGCAAACACTCGAAAAGTTTAGAATAACAAGGCATATTAAGTAAATTTAAAATGTCAACATATGGATATGCAGTATCAGATCATTTATATATGAAGCAGAGCTCAGCTCTGTACTTTAATAACGTTTAATAATGTAGCACCTCATTATCAGAGTACGAGAGTAACTAACATTAATGAATTTAGTGAGAATTTAATTAGAGAGGGGCAGAATGCTTGCACAGAGAGATGAAATGGCTAACCCTAAGCTAAGACATTACTAACAGAAGCAACACAAGAACTGAGAAGTCTGGGAATTACGTGCAGTGCCATAAACACACTACATTTCTTCTTGTTACAGTGGACTGCTGCAATATGAAACCTTTGAATCCCTGTAAGTCTCCAAAATAAGGGTCCAGGTTTGGTGTATAAGAACCTCTCAATTTCATTTCACATACATTTCAGATACACAGTGATTTTAAGCATTTTTACTCCTGCATAGACCACCTGCTCAGTGGGTGTTTTAGAAATAGTTTCTTAAAAGAGAAATAGTTTTAGTCATAATGTATACCTGAACTCTTTTCTCAGGAATAGGAGTAACAGTTTTAAATCTTGTTCTGAGTTGTTCTAAGTAAGGAAGCACACATTAATCAAAGCCTTTTCAGAGTGGAATCTCCTTGTTTCTAACCAGCTGGCAACATACCTGCAAAACAAATTGGGAAGAAGCCAAATATTCATCAGAGAGAAGATGAAAAAATACAAAATTTCTTCGCTCTAGCTTTGAAATGCAAACTTTTGTTGACTTCTGAGAGTTCTTTGTGACTGCCTTTAGTGCAATGCACAAATACTACAGTGCTGGCTCTAAGTCAAACGTAAGTGCCATCAGTCTTACAACAGTTTTATTTGTTCATGCAAAGGTCATCAAGCTGCAGCATTTCTGGGTGCTATTATGATGGCTGAGCACACTGGCATATGGCTATACTCCTTTTCCTTGACTGCATCCTTTATTCCAGGGAGTGCAGAGAGAGAGGACCTAGACGATTGCTTCTGCTTTCAGAGGGCTACCCCACCAAAAAGCAGGTGGGAGCAAGGATTTTGTATTTGGTTTATGTTGTTTGACAAGAAACTATTTAAAATACCAGCATATAAATTGTACACAAGACTGAGGATTATGTGACACCCAAATTCAACATAACTTGCATTGCAGATATCTAAAGTAGTACATATAACACAGTCTGGCTAAAAAGTCTGGCTATATAATTGAAGATAAGGTAACCCTTCTCATCTACTAGTTCCTACCACAACCAAGCCTAAAATTCATTATCATTCTGTTAACTATAGCACATGCTTCTGTTCAGTAGCCATGTGCCTAACTCTGTATTCAAAAGGATTAGGCAATTTTATCCCCTGCTCTTGTTCACACAGTATTAGTCAAACACAGTTTCAAGCAATTATTTACTCATTCACAGCTGTTCTATTTGGACAGTTTGCTGCCTACTGTTTCCATCTCTACACTCCTGTTTGCTGTAAGAGATCGTATTGCCTTTTTATGTCCTCACCAGTCCTCTGATCCTTACCACTCTAGGTAGGCAGCTTGTACAGACTCATACTGTTTAATTAAATTCCACTACTGACAAGATGTCTCCGGGTAATATGTACACTGAAAGCTTCACATCCCAATGGCATACAACTCTAACACAGGTAGTTAGAACTGACTGAAAAGATGACACATAGGAATGCTGCAAAATTGAATTTTGACATGAAACAGTAGTAATGCTGCTTGAAAAGAAAAACACCAAGTGACAGATGTTAGAAAGATTAACTTCTTATTAAAATTTGTAAAAACAGTTTTGGATCAACAAATGCAAAAGGAAAAGATTCCATTGGGCTGCTTCAAGTTAACATACAGTGCTTTGACCAAATTAATTCCTTTTTATACATGGAACCCCATATTCTTTAGAAAAAACATTGCTATCTTAATTTGCTTGAAGCACAGGTATAAAACTAGTTAAAAGAGGAGTGCTGTGATACAAAGGAGCAAGAGAAACAAAAAGCCAAGCTGGTGTAAATCCGTGTCCTTAACACCATCAAAGATGGTGACAGTTATTAAAAAGCTGTAAGAGTACAGTACCCAAGTTACTAACTTCTTGGCACTGTCAAATTTGCATTACAAAATGCAGACAGTCAAGTTCACCACTTGTTTTGGGTTTGTGTAGCAAGGTTTTGGTAGCAGAGTGGGTACAGGGTGGCTTCTTTGAGAAGCCGCTTGACACTTCCCTCACATCTGATAAAGTCAATACCAGCCGGCTCCACTGCTGACCAAGGCTGAGCCCACCAGCAACTGTGGTAGCACCTCTGGGATAACATATTTTAAAGGATTAAAAGTTCCTGTGCAGAGGCAATTGCAGCTGGAGTGAAAATACATGAAAGAAACAGCCCTGCAGACATCAAGCTGAGTCAAGAAGGTGGGGAGAAGGAGGTGCTCCAGGTGCGAAGCAGAGATTCCCCTGCAGCTCATGGTAAAGACCATGGTGAGGCAGACTGTCTCCCTGCAGCCCATGGAGGTCCACAGTGGAGCAGATCTCCATCTGCAGCCCCTGAAGGACCCCACGCTGCATCAGGGGGATGCCCAAGGGAGGCTGTGACCCTGTGGGATGCTCGCACTGGGGCAGGGTCATGGCAGGATGTCTGGTCCCATGGAGAGAGGAACTGCTCTGGAGCAGGTTTGCTGCAGGACTTGTGACCCTGCAGGGGACCCACACTGGAGCAGTCTGTTCCTGAAGGGCTGCACCCTGTGGAGGACCCACACTGGAGCAGTTTGTGAAGAACTGCAGCCTGTGGAAAGGATTCATGCTGGAGAAGTTTATGGAGGACTGTGTCCCATGGGAAGGACCCCATGCTGGAGCAGGGGAAGAGTGTGAGGAGTTTTCCCTGAGCAGGCAGGAGCAGCAGAGACAATGTATGATGAGCTGACGTTCATTCACTGTCCTGCCACACCACTCTCAGAGGGAGGAGGTAGAGAATTCAGGAGTGAAGTTGAAGGGAGGTGTAGGGGGAAGGTGGTTTAAGATTTGGTTGTATTTCTCATTACCCTGGAGGTGTAGGGGGAAGGTGGTTTAAGACTTGGTTGTATTTCTCATTATCCTGGTCTGATTTTAATTGATTTTGATTGGTAATAAATGATATTAATTTCCCCAAATTGAGTCTGTTTTGCCCATGACAACAGTTGCTGAGTGATCTCCCTGTCTTTATCTCAGCCCACAAGCCTTTTGTCATGTTTTTCTCACCCCTTGTCCAGCTGAGGAGGGGGAGTGACAGAGCAGCTTGGTGGGCAGATGGCATCCAGCCAGGGTCATCCCACCACCCTACTGCTTTGATTAAGCAGCACACATAAGAGGGGAAAATAACTGGTGGTGAAATATTCTGAACTCTGTATTTGAGAATATACATAGCCACCAACTAATTCATCCCGCTATTATCAGAATAAAAGCTAGAAGGAAGAACTAATACAAGTAATGGGGTCTATTCCCATTAATCTTCAAGATATATCTTAAAACCGTTAGTTAATATTGTGAGATACTCACAGATTTCACCCCCAGGTCCTGGGTGTTCAGCTGAAGAATACCACCTCTGGATACTACTGTAGCTGGGGTTGCAGCTCTTCAATGGTATACCTCAAATAGCAGGCACATTGACAGAGTCATAGGGACATGTTCGTTGCTTGTAAGGGTTGGAAGCTAGAAATCATCAGTAAATTTTTCAACAAAGGCAAGCTAGGATACACTGGCTAAAAGAACATGATCAGGGCAATCACACATTTATTCTAGCCCCACAAAGGAGCAAGGATCATCTGCAACACAATGCACATACACTGTTTCTTTAATGTAGCTGAACAAACTTTATTCAAACTTTGCTATATTTTTTTTACTTCAGAAATGCAGAGAAGCACAAATTCAAGAGGTTTTACTTGATCCTGTATGAGTTTTTCCACAGTTTAATTCAAAAGATGACTAGCCTGCTCTACCGGTGTGAGTTCTGCTGAAAGCTGCTAAAAGCAGGAGAGGTAAAGACTCTCTCAGTGTAAATGGAAAGAAACAGAAAATTATTCAGAGCAGGAACCTAAACTTAGGTGTTCTGAAATGTCCCTTGGAAAAGCCACTTTCTGTCCATTAGCTAAAGTTAGGCTATACGGCTAGCCCCAGACAGACACCTTGCTGAGTAACCAAAGACCGTGTCACTAAATAAACTTTCCTGTTGTAAGAACTTAAACATAAGAGAATGAGCTAAACTACAATCACCTTCCTAAGGTTACATTCAGATTTTAGATTTATATTTAATTACATTACAACATTTCAGACAGCCAACCAAATTGGTTTAGCTGAATAATGAATAAGGGAATAAAAAGTTTGAATATTACTGCTAGTTCTTAAATTGACTTATTTAATTTCTTAACACCAACCTTAGTGCAGTGATGAAAGGACTTCACCAATGGAAATTTGTATCTATTTTACTGAGAGTCTTTCCAAATACCAGTTTCAATAATGCTATGGTGGACATCTTGAATTACATCAACTCATACACTAGGAGGCACAATCACCCTTACAGTATATTTAGGCTACTTTAAGACTGTTGTACAAAGCAAGACATTGTGTATTAAACAGATGCTAAAATATTACTAAGCAATAATAATAAACTGAAAAACAAAGAAATTATAGGGACAGAAGAAAAACAGGAATTCATGCTGCAAATTATTCCTGGGGAAAAAAAAAAAGAAAGGAGGAAAATGTGAAAACAGGTAGAGGGGAAGTCAATGTCCTTCTCATCTGCTCACCTTGTTATCATCCATAAAAGTGTTGTGCAACTCAGTCCACATGGGATCTATCTCCCCATTTAAAATGAACCATTTTAGCCCCTCATGGGTAATATTAGCTTGTTCTCTCAAGAGATGACAGGAGACCTGCAAATTATATTTCACTAGAATCCCACCACTTTAGTGCTTAAATAACAACACTGCACAGCAATTAAAACTTCAGAAGACTTAATGCATCACTGAAACAAGAACCTTTTGTAGCATCAAACCTATGCTCTTTTCTTTTGCTTGCTTATTAGGTGATTATTCAAAGTAAAATGAAAAAATGTTTTCAGTGAACACCTGATACAGCAAAATGACTGCATTTTATGTAATAATGACCTATTTCTGGTTTGATTACAGGAGAATATGTCATTAGTCTTAATGATATGGGTGAGAAAGGGGAGGTTTCATGGGTCTGGGGAGAAAATAACTTGCCCTTTAACACATCCTGCCCTGCCTCCCCATTCAGCTGTTCCACAACCACCAGCGCTATGCACCCACATCTCATTGCATCAGAACACAGAAAAACACAAGAATTCAGTCCAACTGTCTCTGAATTCTAGCATTGTCCATTTCTGATGGAGAACAATGCCCCCAGGAACAGGTTCTAATAAGAACATGTTTGCTATTTGCCATGGTTCCATTGTTGAATTGCATGGTGTATAAAACCAAATAGTTCATCAGTTGTTGGAACTTTGGGGTTAAGGTCATTCTGCACAGGCTTTTGTTTCATGTTCACATTTGTGTGATGAAGAACTTTCAGCACCTGAAGCAGAGGAACAGGCTGCACATTAGTGACCTAATTTTGATAACAATAGGAATCTTTCTTGACTTTCTTCTGAGCTGTGTCTCTGATTGCAAATCCCTGTGCTCAATCAACTGTTCACCTTAATTTACTCATTCCTCTGTGCCAGCTTAGTCCCATATTTCCATTAAGACTAAGGGACTCCCATTCTGATATGGTTGTACTCGACAGTTGATTCTAATACAAAGTGTTAAATGGAGAATAAAATCCATGCAGCTGCCAAAATTTAGCAGCAGAAATGGGCAAACATCTATTAGAAGTATTTGCCTAGTGTTTTGGCAATATATTCTGCTATTTCTGTGTAGAAGTCTAATTAAACCATCCTGCTGCTTCTTCCAGAAAGAAGTATTACTTAACGTATCTGTCAAATTGAATGCTCATTATGTGATGTCACAATTAATTTTCCTTTGGGATATGCAAACAACACAATATGTAGAATTTGCTTGTAATGTTTGAGCTTTGCCACTTTGCATCATGTGGCTGATGGGAGGGCCTGAACAGGGTGTTACTACATTGCAGCCTAAGGCAAAGCAGCACACAGAATGTTTTCTGCAAGAGCCATGGCAATTTCTTTACACTGTAAGATAGAAAACATGCTGCTTAGGTAGGCAGGTACATCATTCTTTCTAGTCCCTGTATTTCCAAAAATACACACAGAGTGACACACTGCCAGTAGCTCCTTCAGCTTAACAACCTACCACACAGAAGGGATACACAGTGAGTGCCATTCCTCTCCTGTTGTCCTTCTGATTACAGAGACACAATTATTCACAAAAATTATCTTCCCATCCACTTTCCTATTCCCTTTAACAGAAAAAAAAAAATTTACACCTTCCTTGGCAGATTTGCCTCAGCTCAGCTGATGTTGTATCAAGCAACATTATTTGTCTCCCAGAAAATAGGAAGAGAATTGGCTTAAATTAATGACTGCAGTTACCTCAACAAGAGCAAATCCTATTCTGCTAGACAGCCACACAGTCCTGTTGGATTGTGCCAGCCCAGAGACAGAGGACAGCCATCACAATTTTGCCATCAATTTAGCAGAGAGAATTCCACCCTTAGAATGTTTGTGCAACTATAATTTGGCAAAATACAATATCAGTTCACTAAAGTAATACATTTCTTCCAAATAAATAGTTCTGTGAGCCACAGAGTCAAAATAGCTTGTCTGTTTATGGATTTCTATCTTGTCAAAGAGCATCCACATTGTTTTTTCAAAAGTCCGTGTTCCTCAGTGCTCATCTTGTGATTCACCCAGTTAACAGGAATCAAAATACTCTATAGAAGGCCAATTGGAAGGTTCATAATACCTCAAGGTATAGAATCATAGAATGGTTTGGGTTGGAAGGGACCCTAAAGATCATCTAGTTCAAAGCCCCCCCTGCCATGGGCAGGGACATCTTCCACTAGACCAGGTTGCTCAAAGCCCCATCCAACCTGGCCTTGAACAGCTTATTCTCTTTCACCCTTCTTCCAGGATAATGGAACAAGATGGACAAGAACAGAAAACCCTTTATAAATCCTGAGATCAATCACATTTAACCAGCTTGGTTATTCCAGTTTTCAATATACCTTAACAAACGTAAGCAGCAGATTATCACATACAGCAGATGTGGATGTTCCTTGAAGGAGGGTGGGAATATATTTAGTAGTCCAAATAAACGCACTTCTTACTTGGTCCATATACAGACCAGTGTTTCTAAGTTTCACCTTTTCACTCTGTCTGTAATTCAAACTAAAATTAGTGTTTAGATTTAGCTTGTAGACAACTAATTCTTAGGAGTATACCTGTATACATACATGTATATGCAAGTTCTTAATTTGTATAGCATAATGTGCATTATATTATACAGAAATACCTGAACACACAAAAGTCACATGTAGCCATGTACATTCCAAATCCATACCTTCTTATTTATACATTTTGCTCCCTTACTCTCCTTATCCCTATAAATAATCACTAACATTTAATTTGCTATAGAGTACAAATGCTTGGTACTGTAAGCAAACGTGCTTGTTGCTGTAAATAGCTTTTTTGAACAGGATATGTCTTTCCTTACAGACATATTTATCATACTGTTCAGCATTACTGCCATGACAAGATGCCTTTGAAATATCAAGACACTGAGGACACCTTATCAATACTGTAACATACTCAAAAATAACCTTCATGTCTAACACAACCCATTTGCAATTATTTTGATTGAAACTCTTAAGGGGAGTAATTAAAGGCAATGAATTCTTTTACTTTGAGAATAAAGCTCTCTTCAGGCTGCAAGTAAAGCTCCAGGGTAGATTGTTTAACCATCTGTTCAAATTGTAGGTTCCTCTTGCTCAGAACATCCAGAGATGGAAACAGGTCACTGATCAGGTCCATGAAAATTGGAATATCATCTGTCACTATTTTAAGCAAATTGAAGTCTCTTAAGGCTCACATAAGCACCTGGAAAAGGATGGTAAACCACATACTGCAAGAGCATTAAATCTTTCTCTGTTTAGGACTCTGTTTTTATTCAAAGGCAAAATACCAGAAGTGGCTCCTACTCTTAGATGCTTTTAAGTGAAGATTTTACCTGGTCCTTAGGTCTGTTCTGTCTCCTTGTTTTTTCTTTCTGAGGAACTAAAGATCCTGAGTATCTGCAATGAAAGTTAATATCCACATCTTAGAAATGGTACACCTAGGCAAAGAAGTTAAACATAGGGCTGATTAGGAAAACAGGAAATTTAGGAATATACTGAGCTTAATGAGCTTTAGGTAAGCTGGGTTTTCTTTTTTTTCAGTTTTCTTTTTTGTGTTGCTGTCTGATGAGTTATTAAAGAGCAAGTTACTCATTTTTAGAGCAGCCTGCTGTGTGGATTGTCCTGTGTGCAAGGAGTTTAAGACATTCAGGCTATTTGCCATGACACCACCAGACCAGAAGAGTGTTCCTTCACGGGATGTGTACTGGAAGCCATGACAAATCTGTTCTAAAACAGTTTTCATAGGCTAGGATCCCAGTGCCCCAAGGGTATATTGAAAGTCATAAAAGCCCCAACACTGGACCAGTATTTTCAGAGTTCTCTGAACTGGTGTGTATTTTCTGCAGCAGGCCAGAATTTTTGTCAAAGGGATTTATTTCTCCCGTTAACAGTAAACCAAATGAGATTTAAAAACTGAAAACAAACAACCCAAGAACATTGTGGCTTTTGCTTCATATGTTAATACTATTATTATTACTATTATTAATATTGAAGTGGCAAACAATGGTATAAATGATTTTTCTGAAATAAAAAAGACTCCAGGACAAAGTAATCATTAGAGTTGAGGAATCCCTGTTTTGGTAAAAGAGACAATATTAACAACTTAAGATATACAAGATTTAAATTCACTATGTCTAGAAACATTGTAAGAATGAGCCAGGAAAAATTCAGGATATTTAGAGATAATTTTAAAATTATGCGGGCATAAAAATAAAGTTGCTTTTGCTTTCCTAATGGCCCTGTTTGCTAGGGTTTATGGCTTAAGGTTGAAGAGTTTTTTGAGTTCTTATTCCACTAATAAAACTCAATGTTCAGAATGTCTTGTAAAAAAATACGCAGTTGGAAATGAGTAAAGAGCATACATACAGGGAAGAAATGATACACTTTCCAAGTTTTGCAAGTTGTAGATTTTTATGAAAATTATTTTGAATATTAATTCTTTCTAGTATAATAATTAAATTATTTAGAAATGCTTTTTATCAATTTTTTAAACAGTTCTCCACTGTTTTACTGGGCAAAATTTAAAGAAACATTCATCCAAATAGTATATTATTTGATTTTCAGAATAATTCTTACACTTACAAGGTTTTTCTCTTTCCAACAGATAATTTTGTTTCTCATATATTTATTACACAACAGCACAATGTAGTTCAGCCATCATCAGGTATGAAGCAGCAATATAAAATTATTTAATGCAAAATCAACACATTACAAATGTCCCAAGATCAGAGGAAAGGCACTTTCTTCTCTATTTGTATCTGACAATTTAATAAGGATGGACATCTAATTTAAAATGTCTTCAAAATAAAAGTTAAGACTATATACACAAACCCTCACTATTATTATACAATGTCCCAGCTGCACTGGTACAGAGTATGTGTTAATTAACACATATCAAACCCAGAAGCCCAAAAAGACCCTCACCTGTTTAGATAGCAACTCCCTGCAGAGAGTATACAAGGTAATAAACTTCCTGGCTAACAGACATGCATCAATAAAGCCTTTAACAACCAACATAATTTCAGAGAGCAGTTCAATGTCAGGGACAACCATGGCACAGAGTTTGAGGGAGAAAACAAATCCCATAATCCAAAAACACAGATTAGTATTTAAACATGGTAACAATAAGTCACTTAAATGAAATGACTGTGTGTGCAAACAATCTTAAAAACAGAGCTCAAGAGAGTCACAATTAAGAGTGTCAGTCAGAGCTAACAAGGACCTTACTTCAAAGCAAAAGGAGCTAATTAGGCACTGCTGATTGTTAGTATTCAGTAACATTGCTGCACACAAAGGAGGCAGCTGAGAAACGCAGGGCTTGCGAGACAGGTACTACTGAAACTTAGAGCAGGCACCATGTGCAGCAGCATCACTTGCCACTCACAGCTGGAGGACACGGCCAGCAGCTGTACAGGGTCTGGAAGTCAAGTGCAACACCCTGCCATTGCTAAAAATACCATTGTTTTTTAATGGACTTCAATTTTTGGAGGGCTTTAATGCTTTTATATGATGTTATGGTTGCCTCTGCAGGCTTCACCTTTGAACCTTCAATTCAAATTTTTATGATAGAACCGCAGCCATTTTAATGAGATAAATGAGGAAAAAAAGGAGTAACACAAAATGAGGAAAAAAAAAAAGCACAAAGCAGCAATGCAAAGGCTAAACAATTTCATCATTAAATATCACTACTTCAGTTACATAGCAGCAGAGAAGAGATCTTGAATATTGTTTTCAGGTCAGCTACAAAACAGCAATTTGCCCTTTAGAGGACTTCTCTTACTACTGACAAATACGAAGATTTCTTTTGTTTCCCATTCATATTTAAATATGACAAAATGCAGACTTAGTGGTTTAGTCCAGCATTGTAGTTCTGCCAGAAATCAGTAACATGTACTCTAGAAAAAGAGTAAGTACTCCACTGTTAAACTATTTTTAAGTAAACTATTCCATAAGAAGCGTTTCTTCATAAGCCCAAACAAGGGCTGCTATATGTATTGCAGTCAACTATAAAAAATTATATGCTCTCCTACCTACCATAACCAATATCTTTCATTCAAACAGAGCAACTGATTGCACAATAAATATCATGCTAGTAGCATTTAATATAACTTCTCTCCCTTGTGAGATTTTATTAGGTGGCAAATATGTGGAGTCAATGCTTTACCAGCTACCTCACACCTTTCCTGTGCATTGTACAATGGATGAGAGCTATTACAGACCTTAGTTACTGAACTGAATTCCTCAGTCCCAAATGCAGCAGATCATACTTTAATTACAAATGTTTTTTTTATTTTATGTGGAAGCCAAGTAAAGGTAACACTTTGGCTCTACGTAGCAAATATATTTTGAAAACAAACTAAACCATAATAGAAAGCACAGCAAATAAAGCAATGATTTTACTTTATCTTTCAGTAGAGATATTGTTAATTAATATTATTTCATACCCCTTGCTTTTCATATCCCTTACACACCCTTGGTGTGCACCAATCCTGCTTTGCCTTGAAGACTTCTTCCATAGCAGTTAATGAGAAGGCTTGGTAAAGCAACAACTAAGTTGTGAAATACTAAAAATCTCCACCACCACCAAAAACCAGTTACGCGGAAGGAGGATGCATTTCTCATTGTCTCTTTCCATTTGCTGAGACCCAACTATGGGGTCTGATTCAGCAACAGTCTTTGTAGAGGCCCAGGAATTCAAATTCTAACCTCCTCCTTGTAAACAGATGTTACTTAAGTGCTTGTTACAAATCATTGCAATTTAGGCTCAAAGAACAAGAAAGCTAATTGCTGCTACTGCCTGGTCCTGCCATCTGAAGCAGGATGTTTGGTTGGCAAGGGGATGAGATGTGCCTGATGAAAGATGAAACAGCTTTCTAACTTTAGCAGACTTTGTGTCTTTCTGCAGTGAAATCTTGGAGTATGGCGTCAGGAATTCCATGACTAACGCAGAAATAATAAAATACACCAAAATCTTGATGAAGTTTTAATACTGAAGGAAGTAGTAGCTGTGTTTCAACCTGCTCACAGAAGCAACAGTGATGCCTGGTTCTCCTCTAAGTTTCTATCTTTTAAATATGAAAGGTATTTACTGCTCAGAGAAGCAGATCCTAGATAGCACATCTATACTTGTGCCGCTTCAGACAGCCTGGCAATGCCTTGCAGCTTGGCCCATTGAACTTCAGTATGCTGAAAAACGAAATCACAGAATAACTTTTTTTCTCAAGTCTTGATTAAATCAGTGAAAAGTGTTAATGCAAGAGCAAGGATTTCAAGCAACAACTTTTTTTAAGCAAGCCGTGCACCATTTAAGTCAAAGACCATTACCACATCATTCTAAGTGCAGCTCTAACACTTTGTTGGAATAAATTGGCATCATTTTACTGCCCATCCTGCTGCAGTACCCACTTGTGGAATTAATTCACTCTCAGAAACACCATTTTGATACAAATTCACCAAGCGCAGCATGCAAAATGCAGTCAGGTCTTTTAAATTCAAAACTTTATTCCTTGAAATATTAGTATTAAGATCTAAAACATTATTATGTTTTAGGAAAAAGATAATGGGCTGTCCTATAGTGTCCAAAAGCATATGAATTTTTCTTCTCAACAGTCACATATTCAATATCTTACTAGGTAAGAGTATACAGCTTCATTTTCAGCTGGTAGTTATAAAACATGTATGAATACTCACATACCCATAGAAGAATGTGATAGCTAGACACTTTTCAAATGGCCCTTTTACTAGGATTCCTATTTACCACAAAACAATGAATATTCTTGCACACATTTAGGTACATTCCATGTGTTCAAAGGTACTTTTAAAATTTAAGGTAGATTAAAAGAATCCAAAACAAGTTATACATTTAATTTCCCTTGTCATTACAGTGTACAGACAAACACAACATGAATACTGATTATTTTTTTCCACAGAAATTTTGAAGGAAACAGAAATTGCACTTCATTGCAAAGCAAGGTTAGTAAGAGTAGGTGGGATAGTACTGTAAGTGTGGACTTGATATACTAGTATACCATAAATGTACACTATAACATACTTGCCTGAACAGAGCTTTGAGGTTTTTGGGTAGTTCTGTCTCACCTACATATCCTGGGTTCATGGTAATAAATATTGCAACTGATTACTTTAATGTGATGTTTTCACCAAGGGAAAAAAATCCATTATAAGAAAGGTAGCACAAAAATTTTATCTATGGATTAGATGTAAACAACTGTATCCTACGAAGCCAGCTTTCAGGGGGGTAGATGACAAAGGTGCGCCAGGACCTGGATCCTGTCCCTCACAACAGACAAAAACAAATGTCTAGGAAAGTTTATTAGAGCTGAGCAAACAGAATCATTTCCCTAGTAGGCACCAGCTTTTAGTAATCTATGACTGCTCTGGCCAGCACTGAATTTGGAAGGAAAAAACTGGGCTACTAGAGTAACAAGGAGTGCCTATGGCTGAAGTATGTCCATAGGAGGGGTTATCTATTGAGATGTGAAATAAATGGGACTGGTAGGAATGTGGTGGGTTTGAAAAGACCAAGAGACAATACTAAGTAAAGGAAGCAGAGGAAGGAGAACACATGACAGTGGAAACACAAGGCATATCTCAAAAACACTTGGAAAACCTGGAAACCCTAAGACTTCTTGTAAAGTTGAATCCCACCAAACTTCTCACCCATAAGATGCAATGACTTCACATGGTGGGACTTCAATGGGACCATAGTTTCAACACTGAAGCTTTAATTGGATTCCTGGAGGGCCAGGAGTTCATTTGCTTTTATTGCTACATTTTGAAGAGGAAGTTATTTTAAGGTAGTGTTATTACACAGGTGATTTAGTGTTACCATCTATTCCCTCATTGCATCTACAAATGATTTCAGAGGAACACCTGAAGAAGATTTTGTTGTTCACTATTCATAGCCTGAAAATGACAATAAAGAAGAACTGCTAAAATACTAATTTCTTTTTCTTGTTCCTAATTGCATAGTGGATAGGCTTTACTTGCACTGCCATCACTGACTTCTACTGAGATGCAATAGAATTCAAAGCTCCTGTTGGATCAAACTTTTATAGGTATTCCCTATAGACTAATATCAAAAGTGAAAGATTCAGCATTTTTTTCGTGAAAACAACAATTTCCAATGGACTTCACAGGAAAAAGAAACTAAACAACAATTTTGGTACTGCTAGGCAGAACATCTCTCACCTTGTAAACCATCTGCTCAGAAAAGCTGAAGATGTATACCACAGTACCAAAGGCATGGCCGAAATCTTTGGTGATCTCTGTTTCACCTGTGCTGTCTGGTCCTGCAGGAGCACCACTCACTGTTAGGTGGAGAGGCTGGGTTAGAGTAATGTAACACCTTAACATGAGAAAAGTTATTATTAGCATTGCAAAGAACATCTACAAGGTCAGGAGGTTTTTTTCCTCAAGCTTTATGTGTCATGGGTGATTTAGTCTTAGTCTGCTTTCTCACTGTAATTTCATGTACTTCTTTTACGTTCACGTAAAATCATGATGTGGCACTTGTTGAGAAATGCTTATTTTAGATTCGAAAATCAACCACATCGACATTTTTTAGCAGGAAGGAATAGCTTATCAGTGGTCACACAGGACAGGAAACAAGAGGCTTTAGCTGCTGCTTTGCCTATTTCAAAGACTTGAGCCCCCAGAACTGTTCCCTCAGGACTGTTGTGTGCATCTTTCTGAATCACTGATTTTGACAAGAAATTTCATTCTGGAGCCAAAACATTTCCAGAAAAAGGGAAATATGATGTGAAAACAAAAAGTAGTGATTTGGGACTTTAACACATGAAAAAAATATACATTAAGCTACACAATAAATATTTGTTATTTTAAAATAATGGACACTAAAATCATACCATTACTTAAGTATTCACACCTACATGCACACGTATGCTCAAATATATTGTGACTTAGTAACTTCATAAAATAGATGAGGTATGAAAGAACTCTGAACTTCTAAGAAACATTTAACTTTTTATTCAGTGAAACAGATAAAGCAGACGCTGCTATTAGTAACAGTCATTACCTGCCAGTCAAAGGTGTAATAACTAGCCGAGGGATATTTCCTAAGTACTCATAAAAGTACTGAAACTGAGCATCACACATGTTGGCAAAACTGTGTTTCTGGGCGTCATCCCATCCATGGCATAGGTGTGACAGCCAAGCAAAAGCTCCACAACTGGTGACCTAAAAAGCTATTGCAGAGACATTATGCCAGGTAGGAGCTATTCAGATGAAAGAGATGCAACCCATCACAAAGCTACGCTGTCATCAGTAGGTCTTACACCTCATTCCTAGCCACTTATGACTAATAACTACTACAACCACCTATAAAGGATTAGACACACCTCGAGGCATTTATGCCTTTATACAGATGCAAGTGTAACGCAAGATCTTTTTAATAGAGCTGTTACAGCAGAACACATTGCCACTTATTAAGTCAAAACCTCTCCTTACAAATAACAGAGTCTTTGCATGGGAGAAGATATTACTTCAACCAGAATGAGCTTCTCTTTACCCCTCAAGCCTTGTTTCTTCTTATCTTAATGCCATCTTAGAAATCCATTTTATTTCTGAGGCTCAGGAGTTCAGAAGGAAAATGAGAAGACTTTCCTATTTCAACCCCCATCCGGTGAAATGTTTTGTTCATTCAAACCAGCAACATATGCCAGCCACCTTAGTTTTAACTGAACAAAATTATACACGGAGTGAGAACTTTGGTTTAAATAAACACTCAGAACTGTAATTATGTGCCCTTATAAAGAGTCACCACAGGAGAGGAGTGCCTTGCTCTGGAGCTGTACATGTACACCTCTAAGAAGTGAGCAAAACACATATCGAACAACTGACGACAGAATAAGACACAAGAAAGACCCTCCGGATGTCCAAGGATGGTCTGAAATTTAAAGGAAATAATCCTGTTGCTCACAGAAAGCCTAATAGAAGTTTGACACATTCCCAGAAGTAAGATAAAAGTTGACATTTGACTTCTTCCAGATAATTTTTAAATTCAGAAGGCAATAGCCCATAAAAATGCAGGCATGGCACACAGCTCTGAAACAGGCTGTCTTCATGATTATACCTATTCCACCTCCACCATCCTGGTGGCCCAAGGCAGATCCAAACTTGGCTTAAGTACTATTAATTCCTGTAAATACCACTAAAACAGTGCATGAAAAATATAGCTGATCCAAACACATATCTTCTGAGGTACAAGACTTGCTAATACATTTCTGGCGTAGATATCTATGGTGTGAATTATTTTCTGTTGATCACCCCAGTAAAGTTCTCCAAGCAGTTAAATGGTCTTTATTACCGTGCTAAATAACCTGAAAGGTTTAGGTAACCCTCTAAAATCAGACGGATCACAGCACCATCTACCATCATCACTACTAAAAATTACTTCTGCCTACTCCATGAATTAAATCACCACAAAAACTGGCTTCTAGTATGTACAAATTTACTGATAATAAACATGAGATGCCAGAAGAAAACCTGGTTTAAACAGGCATTTAAACAGCTAAACCATTGACAATCCAGATGAACACAAATACTGAAAATGGTCAACCAGGTAGCGTAGGGGGAATGGATGGATAGGAAGATGTGCATGAAGCTGAATTGCAAATTTTGTGGTTCTGATCTCCATAGAGATATGCACCAGACTCTGCAAAACCCGTGGTAATTGCATGAGAACACTTATTAGCAAACTGAAAACAGAACTTAGGAAAGATCAGTGACTTACACTTCAAAAATAGGCAAAGCAATGAAGATCACAAAATAGTATGAATGACTACACAGAACTACACAGTTGACTCTGGAATTTTTCAGATTTCATATTAACAGGGAAAAAACCCTATACAGCCACTGCGTCTAATTCTAAGGAGGTAAATATAACTAACTTTATGAGAAAGATATAATTTGTTGGGTAGCTGGTGTGAGACAGAACTATGCTTGTACATGTTTTAAAACGCCAGCTTGAAAGTGGATGGATGAATTAGTGAGACCTCAAACATTACATTTTCTGTATTATTCTTTATAATATACAAAAACTCCTACAGGTGCTGGTTTTACTGAGACAGAGTTAAAGGTCCAGAAGATAATACTCCATGCAAACAAGCTATTTGAGAATTGCAGCCTAAGCCCTGACAGATTTTGAAAATGCTTACTAAAATAAAACCAGCAGGCAATTTCACCATGTTTCCTATTTTTCTGTATCTCACTCATGAAGGATATATCAATAGCAATGTTTTGAATGAAATTATCAAGCATCCTGAAATATCTCTGGCATCTTTCTTTTAACACACCCAAAGCTCCACTTCTTTGTTGCAGTGAGCTGCCATCTGCAGAGGTCCACATGGTCTTTCCTAGACCACTCTTTGTACAGTCTGCTACCTAATAGCTTGAGGTAGTGCCTGTTACCTCTTGTACTATGAGAACCAGCAAACAAAATTTAACCTTTATACATTTTCTCAATTACAGGGATAATTTTAGGCATCTCTATCAGATTTCCACCCCCTCTTTAAAGTGCCTTTCCAATTCTGTATTTAACTTCGGCAGATATTCTAGGTTGGAATAGAACACCAAAACTACTTAAAGTTTTCACAAAGGAAGAATACCCACACCAGGACAAACACATTCAAGGAAGCTGGAGGTAAACAACAGTGAAACAAAAATCAAATGGCAGAAGGTGCCCTTCTGAAGTGTAACTAAAACTAACAATATTAAACTGTTTGGTTTGACACTAACAAACCCAACAGTTTTGGCTTCCTTACACAAATATATGGGTTTAATATATGCGTGCATACTGCTTGCACACTCTGTTCTTGCCACACTGTCATGGCTGATGTTTGACCTTTCATCTCAGTTCAGAATAATCACTCAGAAAACCCAGTAATTAAGATGTGACAAAAATGCCCATGAGATAACAGAAATCGAAAGCAAAAGGCATATTTTTTTTCAGTAGATGCTGATAGCAGTTTATTTACTAAAGGATTAAAATTATTAAATATGCCACTCATATCTTTTTGAGACCCTTTTCACACTGTCCTTATTTTCACAAAATTAAACAAAAAAATGATGTCCATACCTGCTTCTTTTGGCAATCCTCCAGCGCTGAGGCCAAGCTTTCTTCCAGCCTATCAAATGCTATTTCTACATCCAAAGCTCACCAGATCTGTGAATGATTAAGTGCAGTGGGCTGGATAGTTAAAGCCCCACTGTTCTCTCTGCTTCTCATCATAAGCCAGTATTGCTTCTGTGATGCAGAGACGCACCGTTTTGTACACAGTTTCCTCAAGGCGTTGCAGCCAAGACTTTACCAATACTACCTTTTGAAGAAAAAAACCCAAACATGCCTAAATTTATGCGTGTAATATAAATGGTACATTTTATGCTAACAATATATGTGGTTCTGGGCAACCTGATCTAGTTGAAGGTGTCCCTGCTCATTGCAGGGGGATTGGACTAGATGACCTTTGAAGGTCCCTTCCATCCCAAACTATTCTATGATTCTATGAATATAGGAAGCTCATCTCATTAATCTTTACATAATATTTTCTTTATATCAGCGTTCTTTACAAACTTGCAGTGAGAGTGGTGTTTTTACTTCCATTTTCTCTCTTCTACTGCCTCTTCAGTAGGATTTAGATCAGAGGAGCCATTTCCAGTTACTGAAATAACAGACACTGTTTTGTTTTGCATACCCACCTCACTTATACCTGCCTAAGACGGGCATACTGTCTTAGGACTCCAAATATGAAAATCTGAAGTTTTTCTGTTCACACAGAGTAAGCACAGACAACACAGTGTTTCCTGTCTCTGTGCTCTCAGACATAGCTGTATCTTGGAGAACTATCTCTAAGAGACAAGCTGCATATATTTGTCCATTCATTCTGAGGTCTCCCTGCTGAGACAATCAATCATTAGAACCACATGCAACATTGATTTTATGCAATGTGAATGCTTATCCATTCAGCACTGTTCTGAAAACAATAAGTTATTGTCTCAGAAGCTGCTGATCTGTTCTTTCTGACCTACCACTACCCGGTTAGCACATGTACTGGCTGGTCAATTAGCAAATATGAGGCGCAAAACCAGCTAAAACCCCATTTAGCTGATGGGAGACACAGGAGAGAACTGTAGGTATGAAATGGTGTGTGTTAAAGGACAAGAGAGGAGGGGATGATCTGAAAGTATAATGGAAGATGAAATAAAAGGGCGGAAGAAGAGAAGAAGTATAATAAAGCCAATTCAACCATAGGCTTCATCAGTTCTGTGGCTTTGAGTACATTTTTTTTCTTTTGCATTGCTCCTACCCACTTAAGTCTTTACACTTCTTAAAAACAAAAAAACGAAAAAAACCCAAAACAAAACAAAAAAGCCCCTTATGTATAAAGGACTGCTAGACAATTTACTAAATTATTAGTTTATTAGAGTTTGTGGGGCCACAAAATATTTCGAAATTTGGAAAAACACAGTTGTAAGGGGGTTTTATTATTATTTTTCCTAAATTTACATTTTTAAAAGCAGCACTCCATGCCACTGAAAGTATCTATTTCATCTACATCCCAAAGAGAGCAAAATCCAGAATGAGACTGCACATAACTCAACATACCTGACCACTGCATTCACACTCAGCATGGAACTGAACATATGCCTTTTCTCTTCTGTGCATCCGAAAGGCAGCATTTGTAGAATCCTTTACATTCTCATGAAATTTAAGATCAGCAATGTTATCAAAAGGTTTGTTAAGATGATTGTACTCAAAAATACTAGATGTATAAGGAAACCATATACCTTAGATTGCGTTGATCGCATTAATGCATATGTCTATTAAAGTGGATGACTATAATTTGCTATACATAAAATTTGGTGGTTCAGGAAAGTTTAACACAGTTCTTAGCAACTAATTGGATACCGTGAAATATTTGCAACAATCTTACAACTGTGTTTCTTATTCTAATGCTTTCAGCACATAGTGCTTCACTTGATCTTAGCAAGAAAGGTACACTGATCAGTTGTTCAGTCAGTATTTTTAAGTTTTAAAGACAATAGAAAAATTAAACACCATTGTTTTCCCATACTATTAGAACACTTATGCCAATCAAATGGACAAGAATACTTCTGTCATGGCTACACTATCTAACTATTCCATGATAGTTAAACAGGAGGTTTTATGGGAAAAGCCAGGGGGAAATGGTCACGGATAAAGTAGTGAATAATGTAATTAACATTACATTATGGTCAGTGTCTGAAGAATCTGAAGGACAAAGATAGCTCAGTATAAATCTCTGAAGTCTTGAAATAGAGATTAATTATTTGTTGCCCAAGGAAGTTGTGAATGCTCCAACCCTGGAGGTGTTCAAGGCCAGATTGGACAGAGCCTTGGGCGACATAGTTTAGTGTGTGGTGTCCCTGCTCATGGCAGGGGGGTTGGAACTAGATGATCTTAAGGTCCTTTCCAACCCTAACTATTCTATGATTCTATGATTTAATGAATTGTCAATTTAGGCCTAAACACCACATATAACTACACATCTCTCCAAAGACCATGGAGTTTGAAGATCATTGTCTACACACCAGCATGTTCCATGTCTGACAACAAGAACAGGAGAGTGGTTGCTCTTCTTATACGTGGTGTATAGCAATGAGTAAATGAAACAAATCACTGAGATTTACTTATGTGAAGGAGCTACGAGAGTCTAGAATCATGCTTGAGAAGGCTCAGTGTTCAAGATTCATAACTCCTCTTTCCTCTTGGAAAGTATTGGGTTTTCCATTACATCCCTTCAAAAAAAGGCTTTGTCTGAGACATACCAATAACTCTAGCACTCAGAGAATTAATGGCCGTGGCTGGATAGTCACTGAGGCCAGGAGGATCATCTGGCATGCAGATAACACAGTATAAAGCTTCTGAAATACATCAAAATACCTGTGTTTTATACAAATTGGTCTCAAAGTGTCAAAAAACCTAGCAGATTATTGTTCAAGGGAGGAAACCAGAAGCATAGCTACAAAACCACTGGTCATACAATGGTCAGCAGCTCAGTCAGTAATAGCCTAACAGAGCCCATAGATCTTTCAGTCTTATCATCACTACGCAAAGCATGCCTGAAATTTGATCAGTCCATGCCAGAAGCATAGACTTGATGATCTTATTGGCCTTTTCCATTTCTAATTCCTGCAAACCTACCATCCAAAAGTCCAAGTAAATGCAAATTGCATGTGGCTAAATTTCCAGCCAGACACAGCACAGGATTTGTAACACTTCTCCTCAGACGAACAGTTTCATCTCTCCTTCCTGAACACCCTGTACTTGTTCTAGGGGTGTGTTTGTGTGAAATGTTTACTATCTTCTTTTCACAAAGTGTTCCTATTTGTAAGGTAAATTAACACTCAAGCAAAGGTGCAATTTTAAGATACTATTGCCTCTTTAGATGGAAAACTTGCCTTTTGTAGACAAAATGAAGTACAGTAATATGCAAAGAGGCTCACCTGTTTTGGATGTGTTTCTTTTGAAAAGATGTCTAGCAAGTCTACTAAAGAAACAGAAGCGAGGAAAAACTGTGCATTTGGTTTCTAAACAGTTAGCCTGAAAAGAAAATAGAGATTTTAATATGTGCCTTTAAACACCTTATAGTCAAGAACTTCCTCTAAGTTAAGGAAAAAAAATAATCAGACTAACAGTAAAACAGAACAATGCAATCCTCTTAATTTAAAATAATGAATACAGCTGTAAGGAAGAGGGAAGATGGCAAACCTAATATGTTTCCTTTCTAGAAGCTGAAAGGGAATATGCTCTTTTTACTTATTCAGACCAAGGAACCCAAGAGAACAGAATTTTATCAGAAAAGTCCCTGAAAAGGTAAGTTTGGCTAAGCAAACTCCCCTTCAACCTTCCAAGGAGTCTAGTCTTAGAAAGTAAGTAACAAGAACAAAATTTCTTGCTTGACAGGGCAGATGTTTGCAGAAAAATCAAAATAAAAAGTGTCAAGCAGCAGTTGCCAGTCCATGTGAAAGGAAAACAAGGCATGTAATTACTTTGACTTTAGTAATAAAGAATGCAAAATCCACTTCTGATACCCTCCCAAGTAAGCCTGAGACACTCATAATGTTCATTCAGTGGGTTAGAAACAAGCCGGTCAAAGAAATACTGAAACATAAACTCTAAGTATGGTTTGATTGAAAAAAAAAGTATTTAATTACCCACCCTAAATAATTCAAATGCAAGATATAATGGAGAAAACCCACTAACTCTACTAACTTTGAAGTCTCTGTTGATTTCATCAAATCTGTTTACATCTTCAGGCAGCTGGCTTCCGATATCTTCAGAGAAAGTGAAAATACTTTCTAGATGAAACCACATGAGATGAACTTCCATCCAAATACAAATTACAGAATCTGCCATGTTTAATGTATTTTACCAACCTTTCACTGATTCAGAGAAATATACTGCATAGTTACTTTTCAGAATAATTTACAGTTGAACCTTGCAAAATAAAAACCAGCAAAAAACTACACTAATCAAAATAATCTATCAGAGGAACTAGCACTAATAAGAGTTTAAGAATTTTTCCTGTAACTTATTATTATCATATATCATAACAGAATCTTTAAACTTTGCAAATGGACATCATATTTAAAAAATCCAAACAACCAACCAAACAAAATCAACACACAAAAACCCCAAAAAAACCCTAACAAAAGACAAGCTTAGGTATCTGTAGTTTTATTTAACTCCTACATGGAGACAGGAAATCTTTTTGAATATATAGTTACATAGCACACAAAGAATTTCCCAGGACTAACATCTGGAGAAAACACAACTGTCTGCAATAAAGATTCAGGAAAATGTTTTAACTAACCAAGTGTATCAAGGGAGTGAATAATATTGATATACTAATAACATTTCTATTACTTAAATCCTTACTTGATTCTTGTCTAAAGTTTCAAGAAGCTCTTCAATCTGGCTTTTGAAAGAGTGATACTGTGATGCTCTTTGTAAGAAAACTCCATGGCAGCCCATGTTTGGCTGATTTCTGCCAAAATCTGGGAACAGGAAGAGTAGTAATAACATCTATCTATACATATCACATTTCATGTTTTGAGTTGAGAACTTAAATTATTTAATTCAGAGTGATGGTAAACTATACTACAAACAAGAATTTAGTTTCACTAGGTTGCAAATCTTGCTCCCTAGGTAAGTCACATGAAAATACTTCTATCACTAGTTTCTTGAAACAAAACTTATCAAATAGTTTGTTACATACTATTCTGCAAAAACAGGAGGAAAAAAGGGGCAACTCTCACTTTTTAGTACCCAGCACTTTCACAGCGTTATCAGCTACACTTTGCCTTTAATCTTGTGCTTTATGAAGCTGGAGTCCCAGAAGTTCTGTCAAAGTAGTATCTTCTGCTACTATAAGCCTGAGAAAGGAAAGAGACAGCAGGGAGCAAGATAAGTAAATTAGTAAGAAAAATCAGACATAAGCATATAAGAAAGTGTCCAAATGAAATCCAAGTAAAAAAAACAATGAGATAAGTTCTATGCACTTCAGATACTGGATAGACATACTAGATTTACACCAAAACTATGACCTTATCCAGCCTAGATGAAGTATTTCTTGATGATGTTAGTGTATTTTTTTATTATGTCCTGTCTTGTACTGTGACATATTGTGTATCATAACACTAAAAGGCAAGTTTATTTGCACAGCTGCCACTAAATCTGATGTAAAATACAGACAGTATTTGCACACTAGAAATTTTGGGGAGTGGAGGAGGTACATGCCATTTTTGTTACTGTTTTTTCAGATATCAATTTAAAAAATCCTTCAAATTTTTAATCAAGGGTTTGAAACACTCAATTTTTATTTTTTATTTTTTATTTTTTTTAGAAATCACAAAAGATTTTTTACTAGGCCTATTTAGAGGCTGCATTAAAAATTACTTAAAATGTGCTTATATTAAAACTGTATGTGCAAATTGTTTGGTATATTGGAATAGAAGCATTCTATTATACTCTATGTTTTTCCTTCAGCTTTCCAGTTTTCTCCATTTCAAAAATGACTGAAATTAAATATTTTAAAATTTTTTTTAATGATTAAAAAAATTTATCCAAATTTTAAGAATCTAGAAACAAAACCTACTGAGATTCTTCCTGAGAAATTGAAATAAATTCTTTTGGTTTATACGAACGTATATGGCTTTACAGCTATATGTTTAACAGTTGGGGAAAACATACACATAGTTCCCCTTCTAGGATCCTTCTCTTTTTTTTCCCCTTACTATCCACTGACAGGTCAACAATCTCACTATGTACTAATTCTTAACAGAAATTACTATTAGGCTGGTATTTCACATGGCCTTTCTTCCTTACCTTCCATTTCCCTCTGCCCAGCATTTCATCTGTTCGCTATTAAGAAACATTCTCTCTTGTTATCCAGGAAATTTTCTAGCAGTGTTGCTTGATTTTCCTATAAATATTTAATACAAATTATTAGTGGAAAGTATTTCTCTGTCCCAAAGAAACCACAGAATATTTCAAGCTTAGTGTTTTCAGGCTCAGCAGGGAGACAGGCAGGTAGGGAAGAACCCTCTAATTTAGCAAGCCAGGTCTGCCTTCAGAGAAGTAGGTCCTTTTGTCTGAGCAGACACCACAAATTCACTTGTCAACCCACAAGATGCTTCTGTCTGAAGCCTAAATCTGTTCCACTTATACGTTGAATATTAAGGAACAGTGGCTCTACCACATGCCTAACAGTACTGCTGCATCTATATGTAGAGCATGAAAGACCATCACCAGGGTCTCTAGCACAGGACTAGGGAAGTTTTTATTGGGATCACTGGTTTATGTGGCAGAAAAAGCAAAGTGTATGGAAATGTGCTTTCCAGTATGACACTTAGTATTAGCACCGCATTTGCACAGTGATTTTATGGTTCCAGTTAGATCAGAGCCATTTACTTTCACAGCCCGGATGATTTAAATCTAATTTTCTTACTAATTATTTTACTGCAGATAAAAGTATCCATAAATTCAATACCACCATTCAGAGGGGTAAAGGAGACTCATGTGCACACCGTAGCATGATGAACATGACACAAGCAATCAGCTTGTGGGTTGTGATCAGCATCTCCTCTGTTCCAGGAGCTGGCATATGTGCCAGTGAACGATACAAAAGCATAAGAATGCAGTTATCTTGAACCTCTCCTTGCTTTTACCATCCCTACCACAGCATGACAACCCACAGCAGCAGAGTTGGCTAAGTGGAGTCCCTAATTTTGAAGCAATTTAAGCCATGACACCTGCTGTAAAGTCTGATTCTTCTCTTAAAACACTACTAATTAGGCATGCAATTAAATTCATTCCTGAATTAAACAAATCTGTAAAGAAGAAGAAACTTTATACCCACTAGGTTCAAGACTTCTTTCCTTTCGTACTCTACTGTGCTATGAACCCCTGCTATTCCTCTAGTGTCCTGCAAACTGTCTGGGACAGGGCTTTTTTGCTTTATATTTCCCTTGCCCATTGGAACTGCCTTCTTCTGTGTTACTGCTAACAAAACATTGCAAGTACTTCAAACAAAGAAAGTGCCCTCCCTTTAAAAATGAGCATCTTCGCTGCAGTTCCCAGCAGTCTGGAACTATATTAAAAAGAGAAAAGATAAACCCCTGCAAATTCCACCTGTCTCAAAAAATAATGTCATTGGGAGGGGCCTGTCATAAACCCCATCCTCTTTATTCTTTCACATACTGCCTTAACTCAGAGAAGAGACAGCATGGTTTTACCATGTACCTCCACAGAGACTGGAAACCCATCCAAGAGAATAAAGTTGTAAAGGAAAGTCCCTTAAAGAAACCATGTTCCAAAACATTTAGTTTGGGCATGAG